TAATAATGATTGGTTTGTCTGGAGAAAGTATGAAAGGAAATATTTGTATGCAGATTTTTTTTATGCAAGCAGTTTGAATGGAGGATAAATGTGTAAGTATACCGATGTGTAAATTCTTGTGTGTTGACTCCCTATCCCCAGACTGTGAAAGGAGTTAATTATTATGATTCCCTTTCTTATAAAGAAACCCAGTGCTCCTCTGGTTAAACTGGAGGACTCTGAGACTGGTCTGCCACTCCCTACTTACTCATGGAATGGGACACCCCAAACAAAGAGATCCCAGAGAAGGGGGGAGGCTAAGGAACAATGTAATCAAACAGTGAGTGACTCTTGTGACATCCAATCTCTTTCAAAACTAAAACCAGAGATGCAGACTCACTCAGAGAAAATATAGTGGTAGGAGGAGGAAATAGATTCTGTCAAGTGCTAGTTTACACACCATTTTCTACTTCTGACCTTTATAACTGGAAGCAACAAAATCCCAGTTATAGGGAAGACCCAGAGAAAATGCACTCTCTGAATGTCTGCCCAAGTGGGGTTATGTGTCCTTATAAGGACACATAATCCCACTTGGGCATACATTCAGACATTGATGAATGTCCTTTTAACACCAGAGAAACAGAGACTGGGGGGGGGGGGCATTGGAGTTAAAGAAGAAGAAGAAGATGCATGAGAATGACAGCCTCTGGGAATGACCCCCTCACAGAGCCAGAATGGGATCTAGATGATGATGGGGACAATATGAGGATACAGAATTCTCCATCTTTAGTCTTATATGGAGTTCCCTAAATTAAGAATGTTACAAAAATATATGAAATAAGGCAAAAGAAAGATGAGGATCCTGAGGACTTTTCTTGAAAGAATATACCAGGATTTCAGGCAATACACTGATTTAGATCCTGAAGCATCAGATAATCAGAAAATGATAAACATGGTTTTTATAGGGAAGTCAGCAGAGGATATTAGAAGAAAGTTACAGAAAGTAGAAGGAGATCTGTGGAAAGACATTTCAGAATTGGTTGAGATAGCTTAATGGAGGATAAGAAGAAATAAGAAATAAATTTAGAGGGCTCGCCAAAACGCTATCTTCCTAGCAGATGCCCTTCAGCAGGAAAAGATGGGGGGAAGGGGGACATACTGGAAGAGGTGGCGAGGAGTGGGAGTTTAGGGAATCTGAAAGTAATATGGGCATCAGTGGTGGGTTACGACTGGTACGCCCCAAAACGGGCATACCAGTACCTGCTGGGAGCATTGGGTATCGTTCTGGTACGGTGCTTCAGAGGGTCCACCCGCCCACGCGTGCTTCTTAGTGGTATTTGAGCTCTTCGACGCTTCCATGCACACACATGGAGTGTACGGCGCCTGCGCAACACTCCACTGAGCAGCTGGAGCATCGTTGAGGCATCACAGGAGGTAAGGATGCATGCGTGCAATGCACATGTTCATGTGGTGGATGGCGGGCCCCGTTGCACCGTACTGGTTGCACCGGGATCCAGAACCCACCACTGATGGGCATGGAAGAAGAAAGGTCCCCTTGGGACCGTACCAGTGTGCTGTATGCAGAAAAGAAGGATATTGGAAGAGTGGATGCCTGGTAGCTATAGCCATGCAATCAGAAAAAGAAGGGTGAAGAGGTCATGGTCAGGGAGCTGTTCCTCCCCCAACCCACCTCTGTGGAAGTCCAAATTGGGGGATTTAAACATAAGATGTTAATAGATATAGGACCCAGTAGATCTGTCATTAACAGACCTATTGGTCCTTGGACTACAGACGAGATACCTTTTGTTGGGGCTTTAGGAAAGGCAGGAGGTGAAAACTTAGGGTATGGCCTCTCTACAGGACAGCAGAGACTGTTAGCCTAAAGAGGGAAGCAATCTATTAAAGCCCTCTGTTAATAGAAAAAAATTGAGACTCTTGGGGGATGGCTGGTTTTTGTAGAATTTGGATTTTTAATTTTTGATTTATTTTCAAGCCCATTTATGATGTTGTTAAAGGGGGGATGGGAAAATATTTGAATGGATTACATAATGCCAACAAACATTAATAGCCAATATGCCTTTGGAGTCTTGCATGCCCATGGAACCTTATGAAAGGAAAGAGGATTTTTAAATGCAAGAGAATCAACAGTTAAATATAGCCCACAACATTTAAAATTATTGGAGGCAAGGAGGGGGATAATGGGTGGTGGAGGGTAGAGAGCAAATTTATTCTACCAAATACAGCTCTAAGGTTTATTTTATAACAAATACATGCTAGCACACATTGGGGGTCAAAAGCATTGGTAGATTTTTTGACATCTGGGTAGTAGGCAAGGGTTTCTATTCCACTGTCTCCCAAGCTGTAGCAGCTTTTCTGATCTGTGCCAGAAATAATCCAAAAGTAGACAAGCACCCACTCCTATGAGTCCAACTTAAAGGCAACTACCCAGGGACAATTTGAGAAATAGACTTCATTGCATTACCTAGAAAGCAAGGTTTTAAGTATGTTTTGGGACTAGAATGTATCTTCACAGGATGGCCTGAGGCTTTTGCTTGCAGGCTTAATAAAGAGCATGAAGTAGTAAACGTCCTACTGGAAGAAATTATTCCTAGGTTTGGGCTGCCAAATAGTATATCATTTGATTGTGACCCATATTTCAGAGCTAAGGTTTGTGTGAACAGTTAAACATCACTTGGAAGTATTACTCAGTCTACCACCTGCCANCTGAGGTCATCCAGTCTAGCCCCATCCTCGGCATAGGAAAGCATTCCCCAGCCATCAAAATCTTCATGTATTTGAACCATGAATATTTTTGCAGGCTACTTCGGTTAATTCCCATTTTTGTGACAGCCGTCTGGCGGCCTTGGGTGGGGGGAGGCTTTCTGGCAGTGGCAGCACGGCGAGGAGGAGGCTCGATCCCGGGCCAAGCGGCTCAGCCATCGGAAGGTTTTTTTTGCCCGCTTCTCTCGGGCACCGCTCTCTCTGCAGCCATGCCATGCAAGCCGCTGTCAGCAACCTGGTCTGGGTGAGCCGAAGGGAGGCAGGCGGGGATCCAGTTGGGAGAGGCTGGCTATGGGGATGGCTTTTGAAAGGGTTTTTTCCATCCTGTAAACTGTTCAGAGAGGGCTATAAATAAAAGCACCATGAAGCGTTACCCCTGCCATCGCCACCGCCTCCTCTGCCATGCTTTTGAGGATCCATGAGGCCGTGGGAGCCAGTGGAAAGGCGGCAAAGGAGGCAGGAGCAGGAAAAAAAGGCCCCATGCTTCTGAAAAGCACAGCGGAGGAGGCGGCGGTGGTGGCAGGTGTAACGCTTCATGGTTTTACAGCCCTCTTTTTTCTTTTTTTTTTACAGCTCAGGTGCTCCGAGCCCCTCCCCTCCCTCCCGTCAATGGTGTCCCACTTTACCCATCTTAAAATCTGGTCACTTTAACCAAGGTATTTCAAGGACCATCTCTTCTTAGGGTCTCCATGGTAGCTCCCTGTGGAACATTATCCCCACAGACTGGCCTCCACTTTGATGCTCTTTCACAAGGACCTGAAAACCTGGTTTTGCCAACTGGTTTAGGGAACCCAGAATGGGATGGAACCCATCAAATGTATATTGCTTATTGCCACCAGGAGGGAGAGAGTTATTGGTTTTGCTCTTTTAATATTGGGTTTTTTATTTTTTGTAAACCACTTAGAGTCATTGAAAGTAAGTGAGTAACCATATAAATTCTCCAAATTAATTAAATAAATACCAGTTCCTAAGTAAAATAGACTCAGTATTATTTTGCAATAAGCATGTTGTTTTAATAAGTACAGTCACATGGAATTTCCATGCTTTAAATTTGATCAGATTTCTAACATTTAAGAGTTGTGACTAGCTGAAAACACAAGCCAGGTGATGCAACACCCAGAAAAATATAGTATACTTCACATAATCCTTCAAGGAAAGATTGAAGGCAAGCGAGATCCAGGCAAAATATGAACATCATGGTTTCAAAATCTAAGGGACTGGTTTGGACAAAACTCAACAGCACTTTTTCGTGCAGCTGTCCGTGCAACATGATCACCAACATCCAATGATGGATATGGCATAAGAAGAAGAAAAGTCATCTGGGGGCATCTGATAGGGGAAGGCTGCCTTGCAATTTCTCTGTGGAGCTCATTTGGTAAATGGACATTGACAATGAACCGCATTTATATATGTCAGCATGTGTTATGCCCAACTAAATGTTTGGGGGGAAGTCATCTTTCAGTTACTTTTAGTTTCAGTGGAACTGAAGAAGCAGAGAAACTCTATTCCCCTCTTAAGATTTAATTATTCATTTGGTAATCTCTAGTTTTAACAGTTCAAAAGCATAGATAAGAATGCACACCTAGGTTTCCTCTTTGATGTACACAATAAAGTTTAACTGAAATCAAATGGAATAAGAATCCTCAATTGAGATTATGTATGAATTTTGAAAGACATAATTTATTTTTATACAAAAGCCACATGTTAATTGTCAGTAATTAGAAGAAACAATGGTTTGTTTTTTTAATTCCAAAGTAACTCTTACTTATTTTTTTTAAAAAAATGTTTCCTCCTTTTTAATGTAATATCAATTTATAACACTGAATTATGATTAATATTGCTATGGTTTGTTATTCAGAATTTATTCAAGGTTGTAAACTGTAACTTGATAAAATGCATTGGTATTTGTAGACCTTGGTTGCTTCTTAGTTAAAATGTGAGTAGCAAAAAAGGAATAAATGAATAATCCCAGTACTTGTTCAAACAAATAATAAGAGCAGTTAACCAAATCCTAAATTGCAAACTGCTGTAAAATCTTGAGAAGAAAAATAAATTTCAAGACCTTTCAAGCCTCCATGCAGTCTTTAACCTGGAAACAGAATCCTCACCAGTAAAACTACAGTAATTCTTCCAATTAGGGAACCTTACAATGTGATTAGAAGAGTAACCAAGGATGAAATGGTAATAGTACTACAGATAAACTTTGCAAAATTGCATTTATGCTAGTGCAAGTGATTGAAACTTACCCAGAAAAAGGGCAATGCCGAGCACGACCGTGCTACTCACAAACACACCAAGGCACAGTTTGAGAAGTTTCCTGGCAGCTCTCTTGTTGGCTGGAACCGACCTCCCTGTTGTCTCTCTTTCCATCAGGACAGATTTTCACAATTCCTTGAAAAAAAAGTCCCTGTTTTTCGTTCTTCTGCTGTTTGTTACTGTTGACTTATAGAGAAGTCCCATCCACGAATCCCTTCTTTAAATCTCTGTTATCATTGAGTATTTCAGCAACTAACACTGCTGTCAAAACTCATTTCCAAATCTTTAACTCTTTCTAAAAGTGGGAGTGGAGTGTGTGGGGGGGGCATAAAACGCAGTATTAAATTTCTTCCTTGATCAGGGCTTGGAAAGGGACACAGTGAACAATTTAATTTGTAGCTCTTGTTCTCTGCAAGCAGGACAATTTTTGTCAACAGTGCAGGGCAGAAAAAATTCAGTGTTGTCCCAATAAATCTTCTCCAACTACAACTCCTTTTAAAGCTCCAAGGGATGACTTACACTGCTTTTATTTTAGGATATTTGTTTATGACATCAAGTGCCAAAGATGAGAGTCATGCTTATGTGGAAGGCAAACTTGTTATTAAAACAACCTATATATGGGATATTTTAAAGGGAAGGAAATTGAACAAGTTATTTTTCAGTGCCAGTGGAGTTTCTGAAGGTTCTGTAGGAAGTTAGCACCTATCCCTCTCATAGAAGAATGAAATAGTATATTTTGAATATTATATTTTGCCTAAAGGAGAAACATGTTTCTAAAGACACAAACTCAGAGCCTCAACTCCCTGCTCCCCCCCCCCCGCTCCCCAGCAGATATTTTGGTGCCAACCTATCTACAAGAAAAAGGCTGGGGCAGCTTATCTACAAACAAAAGACATGGTCCTCGGGACATCACAGTGATAGGCTGGCTGCTAAAGCAAGGTCATGGTAAATACTTGAAAGTAAATCAGGAAGACTGTAATTCTGGGGGGTCTGTCTCACAAGAACAAACAATGCTTATCAACAGGAAATATGTGTGTGTAAAACTTGTAGCAATTATGAGTAGTTAGTTGATAAAAGTAACAACAATTAGACAACTTGCAGACCTCAGCTAAAAGTTAGGAATAGAGATGGCCAGCAGCAAATGAAATGTGTATTAGATAACTCCTGGAGCATTCATTAGCCAAGGCTTAGGAATAGGGACAGCTAGAGACCAAATAGAACACATTGTAGAATTATTATTAAATGTTTATTAGATGATATTTCTTGCTATCTCATCTTGTCCCACCTTCTCCTTTAGTGAAAATGTATAAAGCTTACTTATTCCTTTGTTCTTGGTTCTTGGCCTTTTGACCAGGAACTCTTTTCATTGGAGTACTCCAGTAAAAAGCAATCAGAAAACCTGCACCTTGTGTCTGGCGTCCATCATTGGCTTCGACACCAGGCTCAGACCCGAATTGGGGACAACCATCTGGGGGCTCGTTCTGGGATTCCATGCTTGGATTCAATTTGATGACACCAAAGACTACCAGAGGAGGGCCTCTGGATGGGTAGGACAGTGGCTGAAAGGTGTGTGATTGCTCTGAAATAAAACTCCCAGTCGGTGACCAAGACTGTGTAGTCTGCTAGCCGCCCTCAGGGCTCATGAGTCTTTTGACAGTGATTGAGTACTCTGAAAAGCAAGGGGTGATGCAGAGATCTGTGTGTCTCACTGATGCAAAGACTGGATTGATTGAATGCAATGAGCCATTGTCTAAATGAACGTCCACCCTCGGTAAGATCCTTGGTGACTTCTTAATTGAACTCAAAAGCTAAAGCCCTGAAGAAAGCAAGGAGTAGGAATAAGCTCTGGTAGAGGAACAGAAAGAGGCAAAATGTGGAGGAAAGGTAAGGATGGACAGGAGACATCCTAGGGGATAACTGGTGTCCGCCTGAGATCCAGCCCTAAGTCAGAGGCAAATAAAGGCAAAGACCAGACAGGAGACGTCCCAGGGGATAACAGGAATCCACCTGAGATTCGGCTTTGAAATGGGAAAATGGTAGCAAAAAGGCATCCAGGAAGAGCGACAGAGTTGCCAAAAGAGAAGCTGCCCAAAGATTTGCTGATGGATTGTATTTTCCTTGAGATATTAGGAGGAGTAGATATAGGGATTAAAGGCAGCCTTTTCTCATTATTGTATGTTTGTCTGACCTCAACTTCCCTTGGACAATCCAGGTGATTTTTGGCTGTTTCAGGGACCTCATAATATGGGACTTATTGAGCAACTAAAAGCAATATTGGGGAAATAAAAGAAACAGACAGAGATACAATACTTGAATTTATTTGTGAAACTTGTTAATAGTCCATTTCTGTTAGAGGAGCTTGAGGTAGTATATGTGTTCTTATGTTGTGTCATTTCCAAGACTTGGGAGAGGAGTAAGACCCCCTAATAACAATAAACAAAAAGGCCTTATTATTATTTATTATTTTACTTTTTTTTTAAAGGATTTGGAAAAAATGGAACTCATTGCCTTGTGAAAACTCCCTAAAATAATGATAATAATGATTGGTTTGCCAGCAGAAAGTATGAAAGGAAATATTTGTATGTGGATTTTTTTTTATGCAAGCAGTTTGAATGGAGGATAAATGTATAAGTATACTGATGTGTAAATGCTTGTGTGTATTGACTCCCAATCCCCAGATTGTGAAAAGGGTTAAGTATTTTGATTCCCTTTCTTATAAAGAAATCCAGTGCTCCCCTGGTTAAACTGGAGGACTCTGAGACTGGTCTATCACCCCCTACTTACTCATGGAATGAGACACCCCAGACAAAGAGATCCCAGAGAAGAGGGGAGGCTGAGGAACAATGTAATCAAACAGTGAGTGACTCTTGTGACATCCAATCTCNTTAAATTTAATTAAAATTAGAGCATTATGTTAAAAATGTAGTGATAATGGATAAAGTTAGATAAATAATTGATAATGATAACAATGTATACATATATATTGGTTTGATAAGAGGGAATTTGGTATAAATTTTAAATGGTGAAAAAATGGGAAAAAGTAAGTTAAACAGTCAAACTATCATTAAATAAATGACTGATAATGATAATAATGTCATAATTTGTATTGACATGAGAAAAGGGAAATTGGTTATAAATTGTAAACAATTATTAAGAAAAGAGATCTAAAATGTTGTTATTAAACATAATTAATTTTTATTTTGAATGTGTTATAAAGTTATAGTGTGGCTGGATGATATTGAAAATAGATAAGGGAATGCCATTATGTAGTTTTGTTTTAATTTTCGAATGTTTGTTATAAAGGGACATTAAAACAACTATAGTCATGTGGATGAGGTATGATGATAGCAATATCATATATGAAGGAAGATGACTGTCCTTGCCGGTCTTCAACATCACTGACCAACTTGCTCCAATGAATGGCCTGCACAAAGAAGAGATACAGAAATGAACTCTTCAATTGCATGTACTACATTAAGATGAAACAAGCACACAAAATAATAGAAAAGGAAGATGATTGTCCTTTTGTGTGTCTTAAACATCACTGATTAACCACCTTGCTCCTATGAATGGTCTGCACAAAGAAGAGACACAGAAAGGAAGACTTTAATTTGCATGCACTACTACATTAAGGATGAAATCAGCACACAAAACAATAAAACAGCTACTTACAGAGGAAAGATGACTACCTTGCTGGTCATCTACACCACTACCTCACCACCTTGCTCCAATAACCTCCAACTATCTTCTCACCTCCGCCGCCATCCACCCGCAATTAGTCGTGGCCACACAGCCCTGCACTCTAAGCGAGCACAAGGATCACACAAAGACCACAATGATCCCCGGACTTGCCTAGAGCACAGAGCCGCAGGCCATTCCAGCCCCCCCCCCCCGTGCTTAGTTGCGGCCACGCGGCCTTGTGCTCTAAGCGAGCCCAAGGATCGCGCAAAGGCCGCAATGATCCCTGGACTTGCCTAGAGCGCAGAACCACAGGCCACTCCAGCTACCTTCCTGCCACCGCCCCCCCCCGCATGAAGTAGCAGCTTACTTACCTGAGGGAGGCAGCAATAACAGCAGGGAAGGCAAGGAAGGTGAGGATCCGATTAGCTAGTGAGCGATGATGAGAGAGCCAAACAGGAAAAGAAGTAAGTGGGCTGACTGCACCACGAAATATATAAGGCTCTCAGAGGCGGGGTGATCGGTGAGCCAGCAAATTGGTGAGCGGCGGGCGAGTAGGCAGGTGGAGCAAGCATGGTGCAGATGAATGGGGTGAGCAAATGACGACCAGGTGGGCAGGGAAGCAAGTGGCGACCAGGGGATCAGGGCGAGCAAGCAGGGGGGCATGCCAAGGGAGGGAGCGTTCCAGTACGGGGCCTCCAGAAGAACAAGTATGGGAAGGCGAGCTAAATTTCACCAACTGGTACGTCCATACATCACATGCTTCAAGGTTCGGTGAAGAAGAAGAAAGAGAGGAAAGGGCTGAAAGTTCCTGCCTTTATACTTTCTGTTCGGACCCACCTCTCTGTTTTCTGTTCCTGTGGAAGAAATGTATTCTGATTGGTTGTCAGACTCCCATGGGGCCAAGTTTGAGATTCCACATGCCATGTGGTGAGTTTCTGTGGATGACTAATACTATCATGCCTTAATCCCATCACCCTGGAGCTGGAGGGGGAAACTCATTGTTATGTAGAATAGACTGGCTGGGGCATTTTAATGGCCCATTAAGAAATTGGGGGCTATTAAGAGTGAGTCTGTTTCCTGCCTAAAAACATGTTTCTCCATTTCTGATCCAGGGAAATGTAATATTCTGCCAATATTTTCCAGGATATTTCATTTTTCTAGGAGAGGGGTGGGTTTTACCTACAGTATAAAGCTTACTTAATCCTTTGTTCTTGGCCTATTGACCAGGAACCCTTTTCCTTGGAGTATCCAATAAGAAGCAATCAGAAAACCTGCACCTCGTGTCTGGCGTCCATCATTGACAATCCAACAATAGGATTACCTCCCCCCTTCTCTCTTTTTTCTCACTTGGAACTGAACCCGGACAGACATTTCTTCCAACAGTTCTATTGCAAACATTGTGCAAGAATAAAGCTGCAGTAAAGTGCTTTTTGAAGACATGAGAGACAAAATGTATTAAATAATTATGTTGTACCTGGTTGAAGATTGATATGCTACAAATGTAGAGTTTGCACTTTCAAAAGTTAAAGCTCGGAACAATTCATTCAGAAGAGATTCAAAGAAACTTGATTAAAACTTTAAAATAATAGACCAAAAACAAGAAAGTCATTTTATTTTATTAATTGTCATGCTTAAAATATAGATTGGATTGAAAGTATCACCTAATTTTATTTGTTTGCTTTAGCAACTTATAATTATATATCTGAGATCACTTGGAGTTATTCCTATGCTGTATTGTTG